TTCTCCCCATTTTCTTCGCCCATCTTTCTTTCCACCATTTCAACATCATTCACCGTCTTCAAAGGGAAGATAGTATCAAAAACATTCGCTTCATTTTTGGGCAATGTACGCTGTGCCGGATTGTTTTGGTCGCTGATCTTTTTTTGCCTCCAAGCGTATCATACGCTTTAGTATTAAATCAAGAGTTGCTAAAATCAAATAAAAATTATAATATATATATATATATTATATTAAACAATATGATAATATATACCTTGTATTGCAACCATCCCAGGGCAAGTATGTGGGCAGCTTTCTGAAATAAAATTGTTGTAATTAGAAAGTCTATATTTAATTTACTAACATGAGCACAAGCTTCAGTTATCAATTACCTTTAGCAGCAACAACATGTTCGTCATGCACAACACCTATATCTCGACCTGCCTTCTTGTATTATCTGAGGAGCTACAATAAAAACAAAAATTACCATTGAATTTGAAAAATACATTTGATAAAGACTAAAATCATTAAGCTCCAGTATTCAATTACTTTGAACAGCACCAACATCTTCTTCCTCAAACACCGCCCCTATCTCGTCCTGCTTTCTTTTATTAGCTTGATGACCTACAAAAACTAGCTGTAAGTGGAATTCTGTCTTAAGGCAATTAAGGCATCGTGCCTTAAGGCAAATTGCTGGAACTTCCCGTACCAAAAATTATTATTTTTTTAAAAACGATTAACATTTTTGAAAAAAATTTACTTAAAAAAATAAGATTTTTGACAAACAATTAGACAAACAATTACTTTTTTTTGAAAAAAAATTTTTTTTTTAATTTTTTTTTTTTATTTTTTTTTTTTGAAAAAAATTGTTTTCTTTATTTTGACATATTTTGAAGGATCAAAACTTTTTTTCAAAGCAATCGTACTGCTTTAACTGCAAAAAGACGAAATATCAAACCGCGTAAGCGCCGCGTCGACGTCTAACGCGTAAACATTGGTACGGATTTCATAGGAATGTAAACCAAAATTATACTTATTGTTAAAATCTCTATAAAATATCTGATAATTTGATGTGCATATGTCTAATGATCATTTTTGACCGCCAAATGGCATTTTTTTACTTTTTTCATTAGATCTCCGAAACCGCTAGACCTGCCTTTGTGAAAATTTGACGCTCCGTTCTCTTAAAAACTGAGTTACCGTTTTCGGCACTTTTTGCCCCGTATCTTCGGAACGGCTAGACCTGACTTCGCCAAAAACTAATCAGCACGTCTCCTTATCAATACGAATCGAATGTTTTTTGAATTATTCAAATCGGTTGATCGGTGTTCCCGAAATCGTCGACGAAAATTTGTATCCGCACATACATACACACACGCACACACACACACACACACACACACACACACATACATCCATTTTTTCTAAGGTATGCCAAAATATTCAGAAACCTTTGAAACGTCGAGAAATGTAAAAATTTTCATTTTCGATTTTTTTGCGATTACTATAACTTGCCCTACGGGAAGTTAAAAAATACCATTGAATTTAAAAAAGACATTTCATAAAGACTAGAATCATTAAGCTCCAGTATTCAATTACTTTTAATAGCAGCAAAATGCTCCTCCTCAAACACATCCTCTACCTCCGCCTCCTTTCTTTTATTAGCTTGAAGATCTGCAATAAAAACAAAAATTACTATTAAATTTGAAAAATACATTTGATAAAAACTAAGAACATTACTTGTGATTGATTCAACCTCCTGACCCTCTGAATGCCTCCTCTTCTCTCTGATTAATATCGGTGCTACAATAAAAGCAAATAACACTTCATTTGTAACATTAAAAAGTGAGTAAGTCTAATGCACTACAATTTTACCTGTTATGGCCTCAATCCTTGACTCGATCAATGCTGATAAATCCTCTTTCCTCCTCTGTTGAGGTGTAATCCTCATCACCTCATAGCACGCTTGCGTGCTGACTCATAGCTGTCTAAAAGTATTAAAAGATGTTTCATTTAAAGAAGATGATTGCTTTTACTCTTACAGTAATGATATTCTAACCATAAAATCCAACTAATTTCATAGATACTTGATTCCATTTATCTTGTGGCTCTACACGTTTCATTATTAGACCCGTAGTGTTTTTTCTACAGGTGTACAGCAAGGCCACCAGCACTTGCTGTACGAACCATCATTGTTAATAATCAACCAATTACTCGGAATCTCCGTGTAGAAGTTGGATTTGTCAACAATGACAGCAAATGGTTTTGTTCTACAAATAAAACAGTGAAAGCTTGCGTATAAATTTTTGTTATATGAGCACACTATAGTTATAGATAAAAGAAATATAAACGATTTGAATACAAAATTGAACTAGTGGTGTATGGCATTGTGCCTTATGGCAAATTGCTGGAACTTCCCGCACCATAACAAAATTAGATTATTATAAATATTGTAGCATTTTCTAATATTTATAAGAATTATATAAACTGAATTGAAAAGTTGAAATTATTTGTTTAAAGTATTTTAGAACTTTAGCCACAAAAAAATTGAAACAAATCCATTTTCTCTGAGGTATGCCAAAATGTTCAGAAACCTTCAAAACGTGGAGAAATGCAAAAAAAAATATTTTCGATTTTCGGCCCATTACTATAACTACCCCACTGGAAGATAAAAATAATTAGATTAAATTTCAAATAGCATTTATTTTTAACAATAATAATTTACATATATGATTATGAAATATAATATTTAAACTATTGAACAAAGTACAAAAGAAATAGAAATTTACAAAAGTGTATCTACTATCATTTATATTTATAAATATATTTCTAATTGTTTCTTTCATAAACATTTAATTTTTTTTTATAAACACAATATTATTTCTAATATATTGGGAAGGCCAATCATAATAAAATCTAAATGAAAACTGTCCAAAAATATTGTTCATATTTTTTGCGATAAAGAGCCTATGATATCTTTTTATTTATAAATGCTTAGATGGAATATAATGAATGACTTCATTGAATATAGATACAAACATACATGTAACCGTTAAATGATTCTTAACATAAACATATAACAATAATGTGTTCTTTGCATATTGAGAAAAAAACTTCTTCACGTGTTCGTTTATAATCTTAAAAGTCGAAAAATTTAAAACATTTCTTCATATCATATTATGTAAACTATAGACTACCAAATATACAGATCCATCCAAGCTGTGATAAAGAGTTAAATAAAAATAACAAATAAAACACACACAATATTTTCGCTGAGCGGCGGCAACTTCTTTGATTTTAACTATTCGGTATTTGGCCGAATAAATGGTGCCAATTTTTCCAAATGAGAAAAAGTAATCGAAAAGTCGTTGTAAGCGCAGGCATAAAAACTGAATATACATGTAGTACGTTAGTAACATAACAACTGCAAATAGTAATTACATTAATACGAACAAGTTTAGGTGCTAAAAACCTGCCGAATAGTTGTCAAATATTCGGTATTCGGTCTCTGGAGCATGCCGAATATTTGATATTGGGCATTGTACAATTGCCGTGTACAATTGTCCTTTATATTGTTGCAAAAATTAATCAAGCAAAAAAATTATCGATCAAAGGCTTTGCCCTAAATTTTTTATTTTGAACAGAATTTTGTATGTCAATTAATAGAAAAAGTTACAAAAGGCCTATGGCGAGCGTTACCTTCATCAAAAAGACTAGTTTATGAGTGGGTAAAGTATTGGGAAAGGGTTGAGAACAGATGTAAGATCTGACCATTCATCAACGTTTTCAATAGATGAAAACGACGCAAAAATCAAGGAAATGGTACTGGAAAACCGTCATTTAGGCTCGAGGTAGTTAGTTCTTGACTTTAGCGTATCAAACGCTCCACGTGTATTGAACTTTTTTCAAAAACTTCACCGGAAGAACGTAGTCGAAGACATGTGTTTGTGACCGAAGACATGCTCCTAACAAGGAGGACCCGCGCGTTGCTCGTCTGGGATTTTGATGAATTTTGGCACAATGGTAGATTTTATGCCCAAACTGACCGTGGTAAAATATTAGAGGCCTATGAAAAGCGGTTTAAATATAAAAATTAATTAGTGGGGCGCCCCCAATCGTGCCTTAAGCCAAAAAATAACGATCAACATTTTTAAAAAAAATTTACTTCAAATCAATTAATTTTTTTAGAAATAAACAATTACTTTTTTGAATTTTTTTTTTTAAAAAAAAACTGTTTTCAACTGAAATTCTGAACTTTTTTTCAAAGCAATCGTACTGCTTTAACTGCATAGAGACGAAATGTCAAAGCGCGTAAGCGCCGCGTTGCCGCCTAACGGATGAACATTGGTACGGAACCCATAGGAATGTAAACAAAATTTTATTTGGTTTTTGCGATAAGTATCATCCAGTCAAATGTAAAACTTATATTCGTTTTTATATGCAAATAAATTATATTTTTTCACTCTTATTATTGTTGTTCTTAATATGAAATTATAATATTTTACATCAATTTTTCTGATATCACATCAAATTTATATACACGTTAAAAGGGGACTTTATTATAGAATTCAATGAAAAATATAAAATCAATTTAAAATTTGAATTAATTTTAATATTGTTAACTCATGCAGTTATAAATATGAAATGAAAATGATAAAAAAAATAAAAACCTTAAGTGGGATTCGAACTCTCGACTATGGACGCAAAAATTGGAATTCACCGACGTTACCACACGAACAATCTTCCGCTGATAAGAAAAATCGCGGATATTAAACATGGTGTCATATCAATAAATGTTCACAAAGCACATAATTTCGCACCAACATTTATACACTTACTCGCAATTTAGATAAAATACAAAATATTATTATTTATGTTGATTGCTGAGTCAATTGAAATGACTACAGATTAATTTATAAATGTTTGCCTTTCATTTGATGTATCGCATTAGAATACCTACTCATATATATATTCTAAAGAAATAGTCAGGTTTCAATAGCCGATGTGCTGGATCCAAGGCCAGGCACGATAGAAAAGAAATAAATGAACGAGTTTGTATTAAATGTTTAAATTAATAGTTAATATCAATTTCTAACATTGCCGATAGACTTATAGGTTTGGCAGTTTCACGATCTTTATCAAACCAGCCTCGAAGTTCAGTGGCCTCAGGCAAGTCAGGATTTATTTTCAAGCATGTGCTAGATCCAATCCCTAATGATTTAATATCGCGATACTCTTTGATCCGAGCATTCTTTACACAAATTACAGAGTGCAAGACTTCATCGATGTTTTTTGCGTCGTCGTCCCACAAGGTCAACTTAATCTGCAATAAGTAACAGAAATAAAAATTACTAATTGTGTAAAATTCGGTATAGTAACATAATCAAGCATTTATAATAAGCCTAAAGTTGAATTAAATACATAATAAAAAAGACAATGTATAAAGAAAAAATAATATCAGTAATTAGTGCGTTGATTCACATATGAGGTTAAAATCAATCGTACCGGGATTTATGAATTGAATTTGTTTGTTTCCTTGCAAATTTTTTGCTTTGCAGCGGTGTTTTACTCGAGAAATGATACGCTTCAAGTCCTTAAGACTTACATGCAGAGATTTATTCAACTTGTTAGAATACAGTGATTACAGATGGGGCGCATGGCATCGTGCCTTAAGGCAAATTGCTGGAACTTTCCGTACCAAAAATTATAATACATAGTATTACACATTATTACTTTTTGTAATACTTTTTAACTAGTGGTGTATGGCATCGCGCCTTAAGGTCCATACTGTTTCAGGATGACTTAAAACAATAGAACTTTGTTGAACGCCGATAACTTTGAATGACTGCTTAGGAGTCAGTACATGGGCTTATGGAGGAGTTCCAGTTATTCGTGCTTTTTGTGGATGTGCGTCTTTCAGTTTAATTTTTTGTCAAGGTACATTCTCACCTATTTAAAGTGATCTTGAGAAGGTATTAGGTAAAGATTACTAGCACAGACTTCAAGTAACTAATTGTCATCCACAATTTTACCCACAGTTCAATCATGTTTAGATGTAAATGCAGGCTTATGAGGCTTTAATTGGGTCCTCCAAGTTGTTGCTTTGCGGAAAAACTTGCATTTATGTCCTTCAGCCCTGATTTTCTTCCATGTAATAATTGATTTTATTAATATATGAAATTTGCCTTGAGGCACGATGCCTTGCACCACTAGTTTTTGTTTTATATAAAAACTCTCTATGGAATACCTTATTATAAGGCTTGTGCCACATCTAGGAAAACTGCCGAGCAAAAATTCTTTGATTGAAAGGCTTCTGTTAATAATATTCACCACTCTGTATACTTGATGAATTGCAACAGTTATGTTCTCTAAAGCCAAACTGGTGGTTTGAAATCATTTTAATTTTACTTTTCGTAGGGTAAGTTATAGTAATTGCAAAAAAACGAAAATAAAAATTTTTATACGTCTTTACGTTTCAAAACTTTCCGAACATTTTGGCGTATGTGCATGTGTGTATGTATGTATGTATGTGTTTTTTTATGTATAGCTAAGAAAATGCCTTAATGCATCCCAGACTGGTATTTGTCTGGGTATGTCAGACTCAATACCGCTCTGGTATAATCCTGACTAAAATCTCATCTGCCCTTCACTGCGACATCTCACAGTTGCTGCCATCGGTCATTGCTATTCTGCCGTTCTTCTAATCTCAACTTTTCAGGACTCAGTTGTTGATGTCTTCTATAGTAAATTGTCCGTCTTTCCTCTGCTAAGACTGAGAGAGGCACAGTTCCTGAAATGACGCACACTGCTTCCTCCGATATTGTGCGAAGTGCGCAAGCAATTCTTAAAGCACTCAGACGATGTATAGGTCCTGCCGTTCTCCTCGATTTTTGAGTTTTAAGAGCACCGAAGTAACCACTGACGACAGTAATATCCTTCTGGTTTGTTTAGGGCCTCCAACATTAGGCATCAGTGGAGCAAGTCTCATCCAAACTATTGATGCCTTAGCACTAACGTGTTCCACCTGTTGATTGAAATTCAATCGAGCATCAAGCATTACGCCAAGGTAACAGATTTGAGGTTTTGACGTGATCTCTAGATTTCCTATATTCAGCTTGATGCTCTCTATTGTGATTTTTCTACTAGTGATAAGAACAGCTTCACTTTTTTGTTGTGCTAATTGAAGGTTCATTGTTCCCATCCAGCGATTAATTTTTCTAAACGTTACATCAAATAGACTTACGATCTTATCAATTTGTTGGAGACAACTACTATGGCAACATCGTCTGCATATGCTACTAGTTTCACACATTCTGGAATCTCAAATCTCAAAAAGCCATCATACATAATATTCCACAGCGAAGGGCCAAAAACAGAGTCCTGCAGCACACCTCCTGTTATATTATATTCTTCTGTACCATCGCGTAAATCGTACATTAGAATTCTGTCTGTAAAGTAGCTTGCGACTACATTGCAGAGGTATGCTGGCACGTTCTTGTCGCTTTCTTGGCGGTATTAATACCAAGTTTATAACATCGATAGTTGATCGCCCTTTGCGAAAACCATACTGATTGTCTGCTAGGATTGGGTCAACTACACTGCAAACGTATGTCGCGTACAATAACACGAAAAGGGGTGATATTTGTATGTAGTCACTATTGATCTACTTTTTGGTGTGTTTTTGACTAACACAACCGATCGGGTGTGATACTATGAAACCGCCCCGACGGGTGTGTTATCATGAGAACGCGACGTCGTGGGGTGTTAACCACATGCTTATTTGAAGAATGTTTAATATTGATAATTACAATCTACGCTTTGTAGTACCACAATGACTATATTTTATTGAAATAAATAGACATTACGAAATAATAAGGTTATGTATTAATATATTCCAAATCAAAATCAGAATTTTACAAAAATTACAATATTGTTACTATTTATGTTACAATAATTTTGATGAATTATTTTTGAAATCAAGTTAGTGATAATATTATTTATATGTAACTAATAATTGAACAAAATTATCATGAAATATAATTAATAACAAAAATCCCAAAAAAGAATTATCTAAATGTATTTAAAATAGTTTATCTGCCTTTTTTATATAGCGTGCACAAATTTCATCAATGTTAAAGTTTTATTATTTGTTACTGTTCCCAATATTTCAAATTCAATATAATGATATTTAATAGTAGTTTGGCCGAAAACAGGTCCATCGTATGAGAGCACAACAAATCAATGATTTCCTTTTGCTCCTCTGTTTATCATTTTCATTACAGTTTTATTAACACTAATCATTTTTTATTCACTTTTATGAATTTTCCTTTCAAAATTTCTGCTTCTATGCTTTCAGGTCTTGTTCTTCTATTCAATATATTTTAATGCATTTGAAAAAGCATGGGGTTAAGATCTGTGCCATACAAAGTAGCATACAAAATCTATTATCCGATTATTAATTTCCATCTTAATTTTGTCATCCGTTACAATGATAGCTCGAGATATAATTTCATGTGTAGTGTAAACCATCACCATCCAAAACAAATGCATTACTCTTTTAATAATTAACTTTTTTATTGTCAAATTTGGAGTTGTTTTCTTCAATGAAATGAGATACAAGTTATTTTCGCATTCTTACTTTCTATAGAGAATACATTCGTGAGATTTTCAATCATGTCATATTGTATTTATCAAAAGATTTCCATCTAAACTTTTTGAATTCAAAACCTCTAAAACACCTAAAATGAAATAAAATAAAATATAGTACAACACTAGAAAAACTATTGTCATTTCACTATATTCGAGTGAAGAAAATTTATTTATTATACCAATTATTCGTTGAACCTCATTTTCCAGTTAGGGCCTTCGATCACTCAGTAAATTCTGAATAAATTTTCTACTTGTGATACATTCCTGCCTTTAATGTATTTAATGAATTTCTGTAAATCTTTCATTTTAATTTGATTGTTTGATCTATTTTCCTCATATCTGAAAATATAATGATAAATTAATTAAGACACATCGTACAAATTGAGAATTACATTTTCAATCTCAAACTAACCTCAAAACTAAGAACCTTTGCATCTAAAGAGAAATTAAATTTTCAAGTTACAGTTCTCAGAAGCAATTTCAATGGAATCATTTCATCCATCTGTAATTAATTTTACAATAAAAATATTGAATAATTCAGTTCATTAATAAATTCTAAAACTGATACTTACCATTTCACTTTTTCATTTCAATACAACATTCTATAAATTTCTTTGAAGATTCCACACTCATGTATTCATTAAAAGCCGAAACAAATTGTTTATTACAAATAAATTATTATTTAATACGCTCTATTTTAATTGATAATAACATTCACAAATTCCGCACTTAAGCATCTGTCATCAACAAATCCTCAAAAAGTGGGGTTAGGATTCGACTTGACGCACTTGACGTAACTGTTTACACGCCGTATGGATGTATCTCTACACGCCTGAGGTCGAGCATTACTCTTACACGACAAAAAGGAGCGATAATTTAAACGATCGCCGTATTAAACAACATCCTTTATGCAATACCACACCCTTATGTGTATGATGTCGCGCTTTTTTATGGTTTTTAATACGTTTTTGTGTTTTGATTCACACAACAACATTTGCAGTGTACTGCATCTATTCTTTGGTGAATTATTCTTTCAAAAATTTTACCCGCTGTATCCAGCATGCATATCGAACGGTACGATGATTGTTCATCTGGTGTTTTTTTTCCCTTTGGGAAGAAGCACTAATCTTTGCTGTTTCCATTTTCGTAGAAAGACCTCTTCTTTCAGACATGTGTTATAAGCATTAAGAAACATTGTCGGTGATGTCATAATTGGTGTTTTTAAGGCAATATTAAGAATTCCATCTAATCCCGGTGCTTTACTATTTCCAACCCGATGACAAGCTTCCATCAGTTCTTGCAGTGTAATAGGTGTAATATTATTCAGATCTACATGCGTTACCTGGTAGTTTAAATTAGGTTGTCGTGGGAACAAAATAGTTACTATTTTATTCAATAGTCGTGGGCAAGTTGGTGAAAGTATTGGCTGGCTTTTGAGGCGAGACATTATATAAGATTATAATCTTATAAGGCCTTTCCCATGGGTTTTCCTCGACTTCATCCAGAAGTTCTTTCCAGCACCTAACTTTACTTTCCTTGATAGCTTTATTTAGTTGCGATCCTTCTTTTCTTTTGGCACTCTTTACGAAGAGAGCTGATTTCCTCAGTCCACCAGTGCACAGATTGTCTTTGATTTATGCCATGCTTACGAGTCATACTTTCCCATGACCAATCAGTTAGGTGTTTGTAAGGTTCTGACAAGAGGGCAATATCAATTTTCATATCTCTTACCGTCTGCATAAGCAAGTCGTGTGCAGCCTCACAATGATTCATGTTTAGCTGCATTATCTTCATGCTTTTGCGTTCATTAATTTCTCCATAGCCTCCCTATATACAGGACTTCTGTGAGTGCCGGCATGATGTGCAACATTTTCAGAGTTTCCATTTTCAGCGCATAGTGCACATTTTGCTACATTTAGGCAGTTTGCTATTTTGTGACCTTCTTGTTCACATCTAATGCATAGATTGGTCCGATTCACTTCGCTCTTACACTGTGATCCATATTGTCCGAATTGCCAGCATTTAAAGCACCGGATTGGTTTCTTGGTGGTTTTAATTCGACAGTTGACCCATCCAATTCGTACTTTGCTACTTGCTCTGAGTAGCTTGCCGCTGGTAGAGCTATTGTAGCAATCTGGGTACCTCTGTATGCCTTACGAATCTTAATTGCTTCTGCTGGTGTGTTCCAAGTTCCTCCGGTCGCTTTTTGCAGTGTTGTCTGGATATCAATTTTTGAGGGTTCATCATCAATATCCCTTATTTCTATAGTTTCTTGGTGCCCCTTATAGATACATAAGGGCCTTGGTGCCCCTTTAACACACCTGCAATAATCTGTTGTAGTCCTTGGCCTTTGTCCGCACTTTTCTTGGAAATAGTTATCAACAAGTCTCCATTTCTGGTTTTATTTATTTTGTCTGGTTTTTCTTTACTATTTACACAGTCGCATGAGCTTGCTAGTGGGTTTTGAGCATCTGATAAACCTGGGCATAGCGCTGTGTTCAAAATATTTGATGCACTGATTGTATCAACAGCTGCATTGTTTGACACTATGCCCCCTCTGATGGGAAACATTTTAACAAATATTTTACCTGCACCCAGAGGCGAGGTTCACTCAGCTCACTGACTTATAAGTAACTTATTAAAACTGATAGAACTATTATAACTTTTTACGACAAAATATCTAATTTCTGACGTGAGAAAAATTTGTTTTTTCTGTGTATGTGTGCAGATACAAATTTTCGTCTACGATTTCGGGAACACTGGTTAACCGATTTGAATAATTAAAGAAACATTCGTATTGAAAAGGAGACGTGCTGATTAGCTTTTGGCAAAGGCAAGTAAAGCCGTTTCTAAGATACAGGGTAAAAAGTGACAAAAATGTTAATTGATTTATTGAGAGAACGGAGCGTCCGATTTGAATGTTACAAAAAACATTTTATTTGTACTGATAAAATGAAGAATTGATGATAATTTTTGGGAAGCGGTTTCGAAGATCCAATAATGGACAAATTGTTATATTCAAATTCATAATTTAAGTTTAGCGCGCTCGTTGTGAACTGTCAACAACGAGCGTTATGACTGATAGGTTGGCAGCATCTATGTATGTTCTATGTGCAACTTGTATAAGAAGATTCCGCTTTCTTCTTCATCAAGATTTCAAACTATAAACATCGGAATAAATAAATAGTTGAATTCATACATCCAGCGTTTCTTTATTCCAAATAGAAAAAGTGAAAAAAAATCTATTTGAACAAAAATGATCATTAGACATATGCACATCAAATTATCAGATATTTTAATAATAAGAACAAATTTTGTTTACTTTTCTATGGGTCCCGCACCAATGTTTATTTGTTATACTACAACGCGGCGCCCACGCGCTTCTATATTTCGTTTCCACGCAGCTAACGGATAGCGATTGTTTTAAAAAAAAGTTCATTTCAAAAATATTTCAAAGTATAAAAATTTAAATATTTGTCACGGGAATTTCCAGCAATTTGCCTTAAGGCACGATGCCAAGCACCACTAGTTTTTTTAATAATAAAATGCCTAGGCTCCTTACAATGGGCTAAATTCAAAATAATCAACACATAAAGCAATTTGAAAATTAATTTATGTTACTCGTAATACTCACACAAGCACCGCTATCGTCCACCAATGTTAATTCTCTCTTGCTTACTTCTTTGCCATTTTTGGTTTTAACAGGTACAATTTCTGGGCAATCTTTGCAAATTCCAATCACATCTGAAATTATATAGCAATATTAATATATAATTAAATAACTTAATTTAATTTAGAATACTGAAGTTTGTATAAACTATTATTTTTATGAAAGAAAATTTAATTAGAAATAACCACATAACTATTAATAGTTATGTTATAACAAAAAACTAAAAAAATATTTATTAACTTCCCTAAGGAGAAGTTTATGTTTTCATCAAAAAATCCGATTCGATCTGAAAAGCCATTCGATGTATCTCGATTAGGACTTTAATATATCTTGATGAGGATGTATCTCGATGATCACTTTAGCGCGATGTTTAGCCAAGCCGTTTCTTTGTGAATAGCAGAAAAGTGAAAAAATTTTCGTCCACGTTTTCGCCCGCAATTCTGAATCAATTTTGAAAATTCAAAAACCGTTCGAAAGATATTAGTTGGGAATCGACTTGATTAGTTTTTGGTAAAGATAGACCAGATGTTTTTTTTTGACGGTAGATACCATAGTCTTATAGATCATACTAAAGTTGTTTAATTTTAAAAATCAGTCAAAAATTTCAAAAATTAGTTTCGTTTTTTTGACGTTTGTCAAAGTTAGAACTTTCATAGACGTTTTCTCAAAAACGGCTAGACCGATTTCAAAAATTTAAAAGTTAATCGATGTATTTCGATGTGGATTATCTTTTCTCAGTTTTGTGCGACGATTGGCTTAGCCTTTTCTTTGTAAATAGCATAAAAGTGAAAAAAAATCGTCCACGTTTTAGCTCTCAATTCTGAATCGATATTGGTTGGGAATGATAATGATTAGTTTAAGTAAAAATCTACCGGGCCGTTTTCTTGTGATAAACTGTTGCAGAGAAAAAAATTGCCGATTTTTATGAAACTTTTTTTGACGATTTACGGCCCTACGGCAAATAGTTCAATGTTAAAAATCAAAGTTTGAGTAAATATTATAGTCAAAATTTGTGTCAAAAGTTGATTTTGTAATGTGATGAGTCAAACATTATTAATTCATTGAAATTTAAAATAATAAGTTGCAATTTTAAAGCATACAAGCACGTGTCTGTGCAATATAATTAATATAGTTACAGTTAATTTAAATGTGTTTGAGAAAATTCTATTAGAAATCGCAATGTTTAGATTTATATAATTGAAAGCAATAACTTTATTTTTAAAATAAACAGTTAAAAATTTTATCTAAACATCTAAATGTCAATTTGCATTGACGAAGTCAATTCTTACACATTTCGGGAAGTTCATGCAACTTGCCTTAAGGCTAAATGCCACTTTCAACAAGTTTATATTTTTATTATATGTATATTTATATACATATAATTAGTGCAAAGGACTGCAAAATTCTTTATGTGCTTTCGCAATTAAATGCCGAAAAAAAATTGACAATTTTGATAAATCTTTGTATAATATTCGAAAAAAGTTAATTACGAAAATTGTTTTCAATAACGTACTGTTTCAAAATTTCAAAATCCAAGCGTCATAATTTTAGCTAGTGGTAAATGGCATCGTGCTTTAAGGCAAATTGTTGGAACTTCCCGTACGAAAAATATTAAATGTTTTCCAATAGATTATTATAAATACTGTAACATTAACTAATATTTATATAATATTTACAATTATATAAACAAAATTACAAAGTTAAAATTATTTATTAACTTCCCGCAGGGTAAGTTATAGTAATCGCAACAAAATCGAAAATAAAAATTTCTGCATATCTTAACGTTTTGAAGGTTTTTGAACATTTTGGCATGCCTTAAAAAAATGGAAGTATGTGTGTGTGTATGTTTGGACACAATTTTTCGTCCACGATTTAGGGCGCACGAAACAACCGTTTTGAATGATTAAAAAAACATTCGACTCATATTGATGAGTTTAGCAAAGGTCGGTCCAGCCGTTTTGGAGTTACGGAGCAAAGAGTGCAGAAAATAGAAATTGAGTTTTTGAGAGAACGGAGCATCCGATTTGAATGATTCAAAAAACTTTATTCTTGTGTTGACCAAACGATTATTTTTGAGAAAAGATTTTTTTTTTCATTTTTTTTAATTTTCAAAATTTTTTTTTTTTTTTGAGTAACAAACATAATTCGGATTTTCAAAATTTTAGTTCGGTACGGGAAATTCCAGCAATTTGCCTCAAAGCACGATGCCATGCACCACTAATTTATATTGGACTTAATTGTCATCTCGTACAAAGCAAAAAAGTTGTACTAGTAATCGCTTGTGTATAAATAAAATCAAAACTAGTAGTGTATAGTATTGTGCCTTAAGACAAATTGCTAGAAATTCCTGTACTGTAACGAAACGTTCGAGGAATATTAAATGTTTTCAAAAAAACTGCAATTTTTTTGTACATTTAGCTCTGTATCTTTGAAATGGCTGGACCTACCTGTGACAAAGACTAATCACCACTTCTCCTAATCGTTACAATTTGAATATTTTTTGTGTCATTCAAATTGGATGCTCCGTTCTTTCAAAAACTCGATCTCTATTTTCTGCACTCTTTGCTCCGTATGTCCGTCGACCTGCCTTTGCCAAAAACTAATCAGCACATCTCCCTCTCCCAACAATCGAATGTTTTGTAACCATTCAAATCGGTTGATCGGTTGAAAAATTGCGGACATGCAAAACACACACACATCCATTTTTAAGTATGCCAAAAAACCTAAGAATATGCAACAATTTTCATTTTCGATTTTCGGCTTTTTTTCGTCCTAGGCGTGACCAAAAAGTTTTTCTTCAAAATTTTAAGTCGGCCCATGTAAGGGTACCTTTCGTTTGGATAGTTTTGAGAAAATATATATGATATAAACTCAAAATTCATAATCTAGTATGATTTTCTTATGTGGGGGTACATACTATTTCATCAATATCAATTAAACCTTACCGACTAAAGTGTTTGTTTTCTTTGCTTGAATGTCTTTAATCTTAACAAATTCATAACTGTCTTTTCGCACTTTATTACCAACATCCAAACACTCTGCGACTTGAGTATCATTTCTAAATACTATTTCATAATCGTTGAAGGTACGAAATTCTTTTTTGCGTAGTTTCACATCAAATTTTGATATAGTGTAAATCTTTCCTTCCTGCAATAATTAAAAAAATATTCATTAGTATTATTAGTAAAATAAGAATTATGAACGGCGAAATTCAATCTCTTATCAAATCGACAACGACAAATTACGTTTAAAAGACAGTAAACAAATATGAATCATTGAAATTTTCATGAATTAATTGTTAAATTGTTATAGTTAAATAAACATAGGTAAACAGCTACTTTAAGGCAAAAGTTAACTCAGGTTTGTCTGACACGTTTCCAATCGATGCTGGCTGTGGTACCCAAAAAAGTATTAAAAAGAAAATATCCTAAGTATACAGGGTGGCTGATATGTAATGCAACAAAGTAAAGCGCTAGAGTTTTCTCATTTTCATTTGAAATTTCATTGTTCTAAAGCAAAAATGTTGGAAATAACATCAAATTTTAGAATAAGTTTAGATTTGTTCTAATTTGCCACCTTTGGCACGAATTATGGCTTTCAAACGGCAGAAGAACTATAACACGCTGCACGAAAGTGGCTCTGGTGTATTTTGGCCTATTCCCGGCGAGGCGCCTTCTTGGGATGATCGACAATTTGGTATTTTTTAGTGCAAACCTTACTCTCCAAAATATCCAAGACACAAAAGTCCAACGAATTTAGATCCAGAGATTTTGGTGGCTATTGTGCGATGGAAATGAAGCCAAAAACCTCTTTTTTAAGCCATTTTCGGTAGACGCGTACTGAGTTTGGTCGATGAATAGGAGCGGAATGTCACCATTGGCCGTTACGGTGGTTCACACCATTACCGTCGGCGGCGCTTGAGTTCTGGTGGCCAATCGAAGATGTAAATTTTTAGCTGACCTTTTTGGCAAGTAAACCCCATTTTGTTTGTTCCCAAACTGCTCGATTTGGAATGACTTCCCATCTGAGAAGACCAAATTCGGTAACTAGTCACTTTCGTGCAAGCGAAGCAACCCCTTGGCTCTTTCCCGTCTAACTTTTCTTTGTGTATCGATGAGCTCTTGCACTTTTTGGAACTTCAATGGCTTTAGTCCAAGCTCATTTTTCAATGTGTGTTGCATCCGTTTTTGCGATATGTTCAGCTCACGAGTCATTTTTTTACCACTGCGACACGAATTTCGACCGATTTTTTGGACGCGGTGCAACACTGAGTGTATCACGGTTACGAGATATGGTACGAGAAACAAAATATTTGTTCGCATTTAAATGCTGGAAAGCTTTAACGATAGCCACTTAAGGTTTTTCAGCCAAATATGAAGCAATCGCACTATCACGCTTGACTTCCATCACGAATAACCCTTTTTCTGAATGCAATGGATCAAAATGCTCTTGTACGCTTGTAAACAACTAAATGAACAACCACTGGATTAAATTTGTCATCTGTCTGATGAGCGGTTTAGAAATGATAGCGGTCTGAAATTGGTTGCAATACATATCTGCCACCCTGTATATCTCGATTCTTAATTAACGAGGTAGTATCAAATATGCATAAAAATGAAACACCTCAGGTAAAGAGTCAAAAATACATACAAATCACAAATAGATTACAATTAATCTATGAAATGAGCCATCGTCAGAATAGTTACGGTATCTAACTTTAATAGCTCGACCAATTTAAGCATTCATCCAGTTCGAATTCAACCTTCGTACAGGTCACTTCGGGCACGCAAATAAAAATATTTAATTCTTATCAGTGTTATCTAACAGTGCGTGAGTCATAACACACCAGTGTATTGTTCGTCGACCGGATTAACTATGGCGAGTCCCCAGCCGGGGGACTCAGGTATATCGCTCGCTATACCGCTTGTCGAAACTATCGAAATTTTACATGACACTTCTACAACTAATTCTGAATATGTCGCAAAACAAGTGAACTGTGTTAATAATGTACAACCGGAGTGTAATCAAGAATCCACAATTAATAATAGAACTAACGTAATGGAAACTGACAGTAATGTACCGCTGCCAATACCCTCTACTTCCAAGGAAGGTTGGACTACGGTTAACAACAGAAAACACAAAAGAAATAATTCCGACTGCAGCTCTGAAGATAATTCTGTCTCAAAAAAGCTAGAAAGTAACTACTGGTTGCATTCAACATCGAACAATATCTACAATGTTTTAAATAACATACAGCCAGAACAAACAGTGAATACCGCTGCCCCTATTCCAAAACCGCCACCGATCTTTGTTCATGGTGTCGAAAATATCAATCCCCTCACAGAATTATTAAGTGTAAATGCGCCAGGAAAATATAATATACAATTAATCAACAATACGCAGGTCAAAGTCACCCTCACAGACGCTGAAACTTACAATAAAATTCTCAAATTACTAAAAGAAAAAAATACCGAAATGTATTCATTTCAGTGCAAATCGGCACGTTCGTTTAAGGTCGTCGTTCGGAACTTACACTCCAGCACAGAAATTGAAGATATCGCCACAGAAATAACAACTCATGGTCACAAAGTAATGCGAATCACTAACATGAAACACAGGTTTACTAAGGCTCCTATGCACATGTTTCTTGTCGAATTGGAACAAAATCCCAACAACAAAGAAATTTACAAAATCGAATTTATTTGCCGAACTAAAGTGAACATCGAGCCTAAGAATCCAAGCAAATCAATAGTCCAATGTGTCAATTGCCAAAGATACGGTCATACTAGAACTTACTGTAATCTGAAACCGCGCTGCGTGAAATGTGCCGGCGATCATCTCACAAAAGACTGCAGTTGGACCGATCGTACCAATAAAAACGTAAAGTGTGTCCTATGCAATGAAGGCCATACAGCCAATTACAAAGGATGCAAAGTCTATCAGGAAATGTACTCTCGCAGATATCCTCCCCTGCGTCCTAAACAAACAAATCCTCCTTCCTCCTCTAATCCTATCACCTCAAACACAGTTAAACCCGGAATCTCATTCGCTGTAACTGCTCGTCAAAATAGCCAACTACAACAGGATATAAACAATACCGAAGCTATCAACCATCATCAGCAAGCTAACGACATAACAGAGTTAAAATCTATAGTTAAAACTTTAGCGGAGCAATTAAACACAGTCATGAACTTATTAACCGCCGTCGTAGCTAAACTCAAGTAATGCAACACTTCCTTCAAATTGCAGTCTGGAATGCCAACGGCTTGGCACAACACAAACGGGAATTGCAAATGTTCATCCAGCTTCACAGCTTGGATGTTATTCTGATCTCAGAAACACACTTTACTTCCAGCAGCTATCTCAAACTTCCCGGTTTTTCGACGTACACAATCAATCATCCGGATGGTACCGCACACGGTGGATGTGCAATATTAATCAAATCAAACATAAAACATCATGAATCGCAGCACTATTGCACAAACTATCTTCAAGCCTGCTGCGTTACCATTGATCATCCTTCAAATAAACTTATCCTAGCCGCAATCTACTGTCCTCCTAAACATAAAATCTCGAGTGAGCAATTCAACAATTTCTTCAACTTCTTGGGACCCAAGTTTATTGCAGGTGGAGACTACAACGCTAAACACATCTTCTGGGGCTCAAGACTAACCACTACGCGAGGCCGGCAGCTTTACCTCTCTATCCTGGACAATAACCTACTACACGTATCGTCTGGCGAACCAACCTACTGGCCCAGCGATACATACAAAACACCTGACCTCCTCGACTTCTGCATCACAAAAGGCATTCAACCTCACCACATTTCAGCTAAATCAAGTCTTGATCTTTCTTCGGATCACTCACCAGTCATCATTTCATATAACTCCCTGTCTCCTGTCCAATTAAATAATAGGTACTTAACAAATAACAGCACAAACTGGTTTACCTTTCAGAATTACATTGCTGATTGCTTACATTGCAACGTTCCTCTAAAAACCCACGATGATATAGAAGCAGCAGTGTACAACTTCAACAAAATAATTACAGAAGCAGCAACCTTTTCCACTCCAAAATCCCAGACTTTTACTACGCCTGTTTGTCCTATTTACATCAAGAAACTTATAGCCCAGAAGAGAAAACTCCGCAAAATTTGGCAATGTACAAGATCTCCAGCCGATAAACATAATCTAAACAAAGCCTCTAGAGAAATCAAACATCTACTGTCTGACTGGCACAATAAAAAAATGGAAAATTTTCTAATAAACCTTTCTACTACTGACAAATCTCTTTGGAGGGCTACCAATAAACTTAAACGTCCCACACAAAGCAATCCGCCTATTATTAATAAAAATGGACTATGGGCTCGCACCGCACAAGATAAAGCCAATCTCTTCGCCGATCACTTTGAGAACGTGTTTACACCTCATCCACCGACTTGTGACCCTTTCCTGGAGCGCCCAATATATAATTTATTAGCCGATAAAACTAGCAGCCAGACTGAACTACCACCCAAATTCAGTATCTCCGAAGTCATAGGCACAATCCGTTCATCAAAATCCCGCAAATCTCCTGGAATCGACAATATTAGTATTAAACCTTTACAAGAACTTCCTCCTATTGCTTATAGATACATAACTATACTTTTTAATGGAATTCTAAGAACTCTCCACTTTCCTAACTGCTGGAAGACAGCAAAAATAATCCTTATACCAAAACCAGGCAAGGACCCAACTCTACCCGAGTCATACAGGCCTATCAGCCTTCTCCCTTCACTCTCCAAAATATTTGAAAAACTAATCCACAGCAAAATTAAAAACCTAATGGTGTCTTCCTCTATCCTTCCCACCCATCAATTCGGCTTCTTAAGTGGGCACTCCACTATTGAGCAAATACATAGAGTGGTTAACTATATAACTAATTCCTTCCAAAATAAACTCTATTGCTCTGCCGCTTTTCTTGACGTCAGCCAGGCCTTTGACAAGGTCTGGCACACTGGACTTCTTTTAAAATTAAAACCTTACTCCCTGCTCAATACTTCCTTCTCCTTAAATCATACCTACTAAACAGATCCTTTTTCATTAGCATAGGTGATCAAAATTCTTCAACTCGGCCTATCTGCTCCGGTGTCCCGCAAGGAAGTGTACTTGGACCCTTGCTGTATCTTTTATATACTCATGACTTACCCGTTACAACTAATACGGTTACAGCAACATTTGCGGATGATACGGCAATTCTAGCTGCCCACGAAGATCCCGCTCTAGCTTCACACCTCCTACAATCAAACCTGGATACACTGCAAGACTGGCTTAGCATCTGGAGATTCAAGGTTAACAACCAAAAATCAGCTCACGTCACCTTTGCACTGAGGAAACATACATGCCCACCAGTGACTCTCTTCCATAATTTGCTACCCATCAAGGATAATGTAAAATACCTGGGACTTCACCTGGATCGAAAACTCACGTGGAAAACACACATCTGCCAAAAGCGTAAACAACTCGAAGAAAAGCGAAGACAACTATATTGGGTGCTGGGTCGTAAATCCAAAGTGTCGATGTCAAATAAAGTTTTGATATACAAATCAATACTTAAACCCATTTGGACCTATGGGATTCAGCTCTGGGGCACAGCCAGCCACTCAAATGTAGAGATCTTACAGAGGTTCTAGAATAAAATGCTTAGGCAAATTGCCAACGCACCTAAATACACCCCAAATTGGTTACTCCATGATAAACTGGGTGTCTCTTTCATTAGAGACGAGATTCCTAGACTTTGTCTAAAGTATCGTAATAGGCTCACCTTTCACCCAAATAACCTTGCAAGAAAGCTGCTAGAACCAATCCAATTCAGAAGACTTAAAAAGAACTACCCCAACGACTTGTTTTAGGTTTAATTATAAGTACTAATTTGTATTTTTCTTTTGTTTTGTACATCTATATATCACACTGTAAAGAACTGCATCACTGGATGCAGATCTTAGCTTTTTCTATCTTTGTTAAATTCTAAGCCATGCAATTGATTTTATATCTCCTGTAGATAGATGATCAAATAAAATTATTAAAAAAAAAAAAAAAAAATTTAAGCATTCAAGGTTACAATTATTGATAATGGGCTGTAACTAGGCAAAATTGTTTAAAATACAATTATAAAAGAAATCTCAGAGTCCTCATCGTTTCGTTAAATGACACAAGGTCAAAAGTCCAAAAAATGACATTTTCGCGATTTTTAGCTAAATGCTGAAGCCAGTTTTATTACAAGATTATCTGAGACATATATTTATACAAAAATATATTGTAACAGTTTAATATTTTATTAAATTTATTTAAATAATCGATTTATAAAAACTGTAGTACCTGAATCATTTCATAAAACTTATGGCATTGATCATTGAAAGCAACTGCTCTGATTTTTCCACTATTATCAGACAACGCCATACTAAAACAGTGGCCATTGCCATTTTTATTACTCCATGGTTTTTTATCCGACTTTTCTTCGACCTTGGCTTTGATTGTCCAACTATTTCAGAAAAAAAACACATAATAATATTGTATATATTATATAAACCTATATAAACTTTACTAATAAATAAATACTTCATAATCACTTGCATATTTTCTTTAAACTGTTCAGGTATAAATGGGTTAAGAAAAAACTAAGCGGCGTTTTTTTAGTAAAATACAACCGATTTCCTTATAAAGTAAAAGTGAAATTATTTTATTGATTTATTTAATTTACAAGCCGTCAGTATAATGGTATTATAATAAGGCTCGTGTCAATATTTTTTAAATTTAAATAATTAGCAATTTAATAAATATAGATACTTTTACAAAATAATTATTTTGTTCAACAAATTTTTAGATATTTCATGATGACTATTTAGTTTAACAAATTAATGCACATTAAATATAATATATAGTTTGCTGTTGTGACGAGCATAGTGAGCATTGCTGGTGGGTGACATCAGTTAGTTTGGGTCCGTAGATTCGTAGGCGTTTCTATCATAATCGATCCATACCTAAATATGCTCCGTAATTATCGGCAATGTTTCGCCATTCTTCATGTAGAGTCCCGATGTCATCGATAAAGAATTGCTGTGGTTTCTGTGATAGTCAGAGCATTCCAAGTCTGCCGATTTCACAATACCGTGATTGCGACAAAAACTTACCAACTGAGTTCTCGCGATTTTTGGCGGGTTATCAATAGTTGCCTGACGTATTATCTCTAGTTGTTAACAATACAGTTGAGAATCAATCGCCTGACCAACTGGAAGTAGCCCAGGGTGAACGTTTTCCTTTTAGTCCCATCATACACACTGCATTTTTTTGCCGCCAACTTCAATTTCAAAATTTCTGACCAACATCTAGCTCCTTCAATATCGACACTGCAGATCAGGTTATGTTACTGCACTTTTTCACAAAAATTTAATTACTGTTTTCAGTGACCGGACGATCAGAGCACGGCTAATTTCCAGATCAAATTAGCAGAAGGAAAGCAAGAAAATCATCTCCACGCAGCAGATTTTTTTAAAGAACCTTCACCAATTTTCTGACCGATTTTTTTACAGCGTTTTTCACTTGCGCCGCGTTTTTTTTCTTTATCGTGACAATGTTGCAAAACAGAGCCAAATATTCATTATTTTTGTTCATTTTACAACGCACATAACTTTCAAACACTGTACCAATTTAAAATCTTACTAAAATAAATCTTGAAGCGTTACTAATCAAATAAGTGGTGTCGCTACGATTTGTATTTAACGAATTATGTGCAAATATAAAAAAACGCCACTAATCTTCTCCTTGAATTGTCATTAGAAACAAATAGTAGGCTATTAGATATAGTATTGACTATCGCTTACTATTATCATTGACGGTGCAATAAGCACAAATTAAATACAAAATATGGTAATGCCCAATTTAATAAACAATATTAATCAAATTTGAATTATCTAAGTTGAACAATCTTATAAAGTTGAAAACTTACTTTTGTTGCGAATGAGTCAAAGAAGCAATATTACTTATGTCATTCTCATATCTCCGTTTTTTTATATACGAGTTTCCGGTACTTGGGGACGGAACACCTGATGAAAAAATCAATTGTTATTATCAGATGGACCATTTCAATACACTCACTTTTGACCTAAAGATTATAATGTGATCTAAAGTTGAAACTTGCAGCAAACAAAAAAAAACAACTCACAACAAATTAAATGTGTTAATAACAACAGTATATCTAATATATTAATATGTGTATTTTCTTTGCTTACCTGTAACAGCTTCTGACACACCGGAGCTAGAAGTTTGACCAGCCCTGTCATCGATCAAGGCCCTTATGGTTATTTTTCGGCTGAAAATATATTTCACAAATCAAAAATACATCCCCCATCCACTAACACTGCTTACGACTAGTTACAATCTTGTAAATAGAGCAATCTTTGCCAGCTCACATAAAAGTTTATTTATTAACTTCCCGAAGAAGAAGTTTAATCCGATTCGCTAAATTTATGTTTCCTCGACGTTTAAAATCATTCCGGATCGGATGACACCAAATTTGGAGAAGTATGTCTGTGTGTGTGAGCCTATTTTTCACATCGACGTTTTCTCGAAAATGGCTAGACCGATTTAAAAAATTTAAGATCCATTGGATGTATCTTGAGGATTATTGTTGGTTACATTTGCGCGATGATCAGCCGAGTCGCTTCTTTGTAATCAGCAGAAAAGTGTAAAAAATTTCGTCTATGTTTTTGCCCACAGTTTTGAACCGATTTGAAAAAATTAATATCCATTCGAAGATATTGATTGGGAATCGTGTTGATTGGTTTTTGATAAGGATCGGTTGAACCGTTTCTTCGTTATTAGATGTTAAATAATTTCTTTTTTATGAAACTGTATGACGCTAGATAACATAAAGAGTTGTAAGCGCAATATATTTATAAGATTATTGAAGTTCATTTTAGATAGATATTAATAGTATAGTTTATGAAATTAAATGTGTTTGATTGAAAATCATCTAGATGTTATATTATGTTCATCAGTGTTACATTACATGATTCAATTCTGGCAAATTTATAATGTAGTTTGTCATTTTTCTAAAAACAAGACAAATCTAATAACAAAGCAATTATATTCAATATATCAATATCGATTTATGAAAATACAAAAGTGATGTTGTTTGTGATAATAGTCTGGCGAAAGTTTAACGCTTCTTTTCAATTACAAGAAACGGCTCGGTCGATCGTCGCACAAAACTGAAAAACAATAGTCCTCATCGAGATGCATCAAAATTTTTGAAATCGGTTTAGCCGTTTTTGAGAAAAACGTTGATGAAAGGTCTAATTTTGACAAATGCCAAAAAAGCGATACTATTTTTTGCAAACTTTGACGAATTCTCAAAATTAAACGACTTGTCGTAGGGCAGTAATATTTTACTATGATCTATAAGACTAGGTATCTGCCGTCAATTTTTTTATAAAAATCGTCGTTTTAAATGAAAATAATTTTTTTTAACACTATTACAAGAAAACGACCGGACGATCTTTACCAAAAACTAATCAGCGTGATTCCTAACAATATCTTTCAAATGGTTTTTTTGAATTTTCAAAATCGATTCAGAATGCGCGGCAATTATAAACGGCTTAAGCATGCCGAATGGTCTTTGATGGATGCGCCAAAATAAAAAGTAGAACGCTCGGATATATCAAGGGAAGAAATTAACCACTTAAACGGTCACCCACGAACACTGCTAGAAGTCGTACCCTCAGTACCCTCCTAGAACTTTTGCCGCCCGGGGCGGTCTTCAGATTGCCGCCCTTTCAATTTTAAGTCAGTCAATAGTAGTTTTCATAAAT